AATTGAGCGATCGTGATTTTAGAAAGTATTACATCGCCTTGTAAACGTTTATTATTACCATTTGATGAGCCTCACCATAGAGTTTGATATGGCGCTTGAACCCTGAAGCCGATTCATGTGATGTCACATTTAACAAGCAAATAATGACCTTAAAATGTTTTTTTAATTAAAAACTGCTTTTATTGTATCCAAAATAAAACAAAGAGGACTTTTTTCCAGAAGAAAAAAATATTATCAGACATACTGTGAAAAATTCCTTGCTCTGTTAAACTTAATTTGGGAAACATTGGGCAAAAAAAAAAAAAATAATAATCACAGGAGGGCTATAAATTTTGACTTCAACTGTATTCTGCATGATCTTATTGTCCATACCTAATCCCATTCAATACCTAAACCCAGCTATCACCTTAGTAGCTTTTAATAAACATGAAATAAAGAGTCTGTTAACCTAACCCAAAAGACAGTTATTTGTTTGTTAACAGTGAAAGATGTGCTTTAAAATAAAGTGTAAAAATGATTTGCCCCTTTCTTCTGAAGAAAATGGTGATGGTTCTTCGTTTCTCTACAATGAAAGTCAATGTAAACTAGCTTGTATGTAACCATGGTGGAAAGAGTATTTAAATCATCCTTAAGTAAAAGTACCATTACTTGCCCAAAAATGTAGTGCAAGTAGAGTAAAAGTATCTGTTGTAAATATTACTCAAAGTATAAGTAAAAAAAGAGTTGTGAGAATTTACACTGTGAAAAGTTGATGTGTTTACATGCAGTTTGTGAAGGGATGTGTAAACGATATATTCTTTAGTGCTTTCAGTTATCTTCGTTCGCGCGTTTGTTCGCTTGTTTATTTGTTTGTTCGTTCGTTTGTTTGTTCGCTCGTTCGTTCGTTCGTTCGTTCATTCTTTCGTTCATTCACTGGTTCTTTTGCTTGTTTGCTCACTCGTTTTCTCGCTAGTTTGTTTGTTCATTCGTTCATCCGCTCATTTGTGCGCTTGTTCGTTCTCTAGCTTGTTCGTTTGTTTGTTTGTTCGTTCACTCGCTCATTTATTCCTTTGTTCATTTATTTGTTCCTTCGTTTGTTCCTTTGTTCCTTCGTTCTTTTCTTCGTTCCTTCCTTTGTTCATTCCTTCTTTCCTTCCTTTCATTGTTTGTTCGTTCTGTCCTTCCTTTGTTCATTCATTCATTCATTCATTCATTCATTCATTCATTCATTCATTCGTTCTTTTGTTCCTTCCTACATTAGGTCCTTTGTTTATACATTCAATCATTCGTTCATTCCTTTATTTGTTCCTTTGTTTTTTCCTTTGTTTGTTCAGTGCTTCCTTGAATCCTTTCTTCATTCATTTAGTCCTTCCTTCCATCAGTAATTTAGTCCTTTCTTCTATTATTCGACCCTTCCTTCCATTTAGTGATTAAGGCTGTTTGGTGTTTTCAGTCATCATTAGGCCCACACTGAATTTTTCGCAGATTTTCAGCAAAATTTGGCAGATTTTTAGCCCACCGTTAGTCTATTTATTTACTTGAGTAAATTCTGCAGAAATCCACAGATTTTTACCAAAATTCTCCACAGAAATAGCAAAAAATGTCTGCAGATTCCATTTGGCCCTTATACAGTTTCTCATCATCACACGCAGTCTAAACAACCTCTGGGTCATTGCGTGTCAAGATTTGGACACTTTGGACATTTTTAATGCTTTCAAATGGTATGCAGCATTGAACCCTTGTCTTGAGGTTGTTCAGGATGATGCGGTTTACTTTCTGTATGCGATTTGACTGGACAGGAATCACAGGACTGATTTTTCTACTTTAGCCAATCACCATAGACAAAAACTAAATAAAGTAGTGACTGCAGGTTGAAGTAGTGGAGTAATAGTACCAAAAATGTACTCAAGAGAAATAAAAGTACACATTTTTAAAACTACGCAGTACAATTCCTGAGTAAAACTACTCAATTACAGTAATTTGAGTATTTGTAATTTGTTACTTTACACCACTGTATATAACACAGTATAATCTGTGTGTTACATTTAAATCCACAGCTTATCGTGAAAAACACGAAAATCAATTGTGGAATAATCCTGATAATTCATTTCTACGCTGAGATACATCATTTCCGCAGGCTGGAGGCATTATGCATTCAGGCTGGATGGATGAAAGCCTCTGTGTGCGGGTGAGACTCAGAGAGCATGTTTAATTACCACCAACAAACTGGATGAGAGCTTTGATGCCAACCGGCTGCTAAGTGTATTTCTGCTGGGTAAATAACAAGGTCAGGCTGCCATACGCTCGGTGTTGGTGGGACTTGAATGTTCAAGAGATGTTCAGGCTGTGCTGGTGTTAAAAGCGGAAGATTTGAGAGATTGTGAAGGAATGGTTAGAGTATAGTGATGATTAAACTCACCTCTAGTTGTTTCTAAACATGTTTCTGTACAACCACTGTTCCCTACACATCTGGATGATAGTGTTTATTTGTAAGCAAAGCCCACACGTTATCTCTGGTTCCTTTTACACAAAAGTCCTACAGGGTTTTTCCATTGGTGTTTGTAATAATCTCGAACAGGGGTGGCCATACTCAGTCCTGGAGGGCTGGTGTCCTGCAGATTTTAGCTCCAACTTTCCTCAACACACATGCACGGATGTTCCTAAATCCTTGGAAGAGCTCGATTAGCCAGCCCAGGTGTGTCTGATTGAGGTTGGAACTAAACTTTGCAGGACACCAGCCCTCCAGGACTGAGTCTGGACACCCACATACACAAAAAATACAAACCTTTATAATCGTTACTCATTTTGTTTAGTCTTAAAGAATGAATGCGTTTTGTGAAGCCTAAGGTGGAAAAAGATGGATATATGAACTACAGGTGAAGACAAAATGATTAGCCATTCTACTAAATTTGCATAACTTTTTGAATATTTCCCAAGTGATGTTTAACAGAGCAATTTTTCAGTGTTATTATTGTTTTTTTTTTTTTTAGATAAACTATTATTTTTATAAGTTTAGCTGGTATAAAAAGCTTTTTAAAAATGTAAAAATGGCTTAGGTCAATATGTATAGCCCCCTTTAGGAATTGTTTTTTTTCTTCTTCAATTGGCTACAGAACAAACAATTGTTATCCAAAGACTTAACCAACCTATTTACCCTTATTAGACTTAGTTAAACTTTTAAATGGCACCTAAAGCTGAATACTAGTGTCTTGCTGTACAACAAATAACATGTGCTATCATGAATCAATTCAATTCAATTCATCTTTATTTCTATAGCGCTTTTACAATGTAGACTGTGTCAAAGCAGCTTAACATAGAAGATTACAGTAAATTGAAACTGTGTCAGTCCAGTTTTCAGTGTTGAAGTTCAGTTTAGTTCAGTTCAATGTGGTTTATTGCTGAGAGTCCAAGCACTGAAGAGCAAATCCATTAATGCGCAGCTCCACAAGTCCCGAATTATGCAAGCCAGTTTTTTACAGTGTCAGTGGCAAGGAACAAAACCAATTTGCAAAAGTGAAAAACCTCAAGAGAACTAGGCTCAGTTGGGCACGACCATTTCTCCTTTGGCCAAACTCTCCACTCCTCCATGACCACCACAGCAGCTTCTAAGAATACGGCCTGGTCCATGATTATGGAAACCTCGGGAAAATAAGTCTAACATAAGCGCAGACGCCGTTTAAATTATAATGTCGTTTGGGAAGTGTTCCCGTCTCCGGTTGCCCTACATAATGCAGACCAACCATGCTTTTGAAGATTTGGATTTCAAAAGCATTTGTGTTTTATGTGTATGCTAATGCAAAGAGATGTGTCTTCATTAAAAAATTGTTATTAGTAAGTTACTGTAGCTGTTAAATCTATTGTTTAAAAATGTGTTGAAAAAAAAACATCTCTCTATGTTAATCATCACTTATATATATATAGTTTTACAGGAGAGCTTATAATTTTGTCTTCTACTCTAAATGGAAACATGAGTTTACCTATTCTGTACACCGTTTGCATTTACCTGTCCATGACATGCTTGTTCCTTGTTTTTTAACTCTGTTTTTTCGAAAGATCTCAAAATACCCCCACTGGTGTTTTATTACACCATGCTGTAAATGCTATTTTATTGGGTGGTGGCAAAAGCATTTTTTTTTAAATTTGCATGTCTCTTGAAATGCAAATGAGCTATATCTGCCCACCCACTTTCTAGAAAAGGGGTGGCGTCTTTACAGCTTGTGCCTTGGTTACTCCAGCAGCAAGTGACATCTGCATGTTTGTATTACAGTATAACAAACTTATTTTGTTTTTGTCACCTGACATGCTCGCGTTTATGTCAAAAGCACACAAAATTATATTGTGTAACATTATATGTTAATTACGCTCAGAAAAATCTGTATATATGAGTACATTATATCTATGCAACAACTCAACCAAACCATGCGTTATTTAAAATCATCATATTCTGACTCATATGTTACTTCAAGTACATTTCCTACAAAAGTCTGTAACCACTTGTTTGAAAAATTCTTTTTCTAGTCTAGTAAAAGTTATTAAAAGGGGGTATTAGCGATGTATTTTAAGTAATCAAATAAAATGTGAACATTTTCATTGAGGCACTTTTCCAAAATCACAGAATTCAAGATGAAATAACTCAGTTCATAAATGCTAGCATATTTGCAGTTTGTGGCCTACCAAAATACATAGTCTCTGTGGTGTATAGTCAGACAAGCCAGGCAGCTCCACCCCCAAACCCATGTCATTGGTTGAACCAGAATCTTTCACATTCATCCTTTCCTGTCATATACTCTGATGGTTTTGTTTGTGTAGTGCACCGGCATCACAATTTCCTGAACCTGTTTGTTGTGGGACCTGCGTATGAGATTCTGGACGAAATGGCAATATTCATTCTATCTCTGGCTTCAAAGTGGGAAATTACTGATTAACTATACCAATCGCTTCTCCCACAACAGCAAGTTTTCATTGATCTCAGTTGGGGGTTTGCGTTCAGTCTTGATTTTAACTTCTTGCTCTCTCATCAGGTGATGTGGGTATGCAACCTGTGCCGAAAACAACAAGAAATCCTCACCAAGTCAGGGGCCTGGTTCTTCAGTGGCCCAGGGGGAGCCCTGCCTGCAGGTGCGAGTGACCCTCGCCGCCGCCACGAAGAGGCTCCGCAGGAGAAGAAGGCCAAACTGCAGGAAGCTCCATTGCTGTACCAGAGCTCAGGAGACCGCAGCCGAGCTCCAGGACTCCCCCGACAGGCATCCCTCAACAACAACTCTAGTCTGAAGCCCAACGACCCAACAAGCAACAGGTGAGTTTAAGGCTTAATGATGGTAAAACTTTTGAAGCATCTCGTTACTGAACCACTGTGTTGATCACTTCAGGAATTTGGTAGGTAAAGTTGGTGAAGATGAACTTTGGCGTAAAAAAAGTTTGACAAAGCTTGCCTAGATGTTAAAGTACTTTGAGGTTTGAGTTAGGTGTTTATGTCAGGGGTTTCACTGCTAGGCAGATGCTAACGATTTCTGGAGTAGCTGCTTAGATATGGCTAGGGTGTTGCTTGAATGGTGGATTGCTAGGGTGTTGCTAGGTAGTTGGAGTAGTTTCTAGTATGTTGTGTAAGTGGGTTTTGAAGCCAACCGATTGCTGTTATGTTGCTAAGTTGCTTGGATTTTCTCTTTGATTACTGGGTTTTTGATAAGCAGTCCCTAAAGTGATCCAGGTGGTTGCATACTGTAGGTCATGCTACTGGACTGTATTTGGGAGAATAATGTCTGTTAGGATATTTCATTGTTTGTTGGCCATTGCTTTGGCAACCAACTAGGTTGCATGGAAAAATAGTGCTCAGCACATATATGAGTTCTCTACTCACAAATCTCTCTTTTTTAAATTCATATTTTTAATAGGAAGCTATACAATATTATATGTGTGCATATATAAATTAGATTAGTCCGTACTGAAGCCAAATCTGGAGCTTATCTAACAAAATAATTTACGATAATGATCCAAAAACTAGGACAACCAAATGTATATGTTATTTATATATATAAAAAATTGAAAATTTTAGTTAAATTTTTGTAGGTTGTATATTTTTTTGCTATATTTTTCTTGAATTTTATTTGCATTATCCTTCAATTTCTAAATGTGTTTGGTGACTAAAATATTACTTTAATAAATATATCTGTTTTATTTAAATGCCAAAATACATAGCCTAAATTCACTGAGAAATGGATACAAATTAAGAGTTCAGATGCAAAAGCCACCAAACTCCACTTCTGCCAAAAATGAGATAATGGCATTGAGTGAATGCTTTAGGCATGTACTACACCATCAACAGATATATGTAGTAAAGTAAAGGTCCAAGGAACATTTCCAAGTTTTTTTTATGAATAGGCTACTATATGTTAATACTTTACATTTAAGTTCAGCAGTTTTCTTTTTACTTTTTAAGAGCAGTGGCATTTCTAATTAACTTCTTTTTTTTATTAGAATATACAAAAATCATACAAATACAAGAAAACATCAACAAATAACAAAAACAAAGCAACAAAACAAAAACAACAACAATATAGTCAGGTACTGGTATGTGCTTCAGTGTGCGTGTGTGTGTGTGCGCGTGCGTGCATGCGTGCGTGTGTGTGTGTGTGTGTGTATGCATGTAAAGGTAACTTGGTGGACAGGTCAGAGTACATACATAAGGAACAATAACAGTCAATTTATTTTTTACTTTCTAATTGACTTCTAGAAGCACATTTTAATTTAAACATTATTTATTTATTTTTTTACCTGTAAGCACAAAGCAGTGTTAATGTTCAAGCTATTTATTATGTTTAAAATGGCTGACAATAATAATAAATATTCATAATAATAGAAATAAATCTGCCTCATTTTTAAACTGTGCAGAGCTTTGGCTGCTTAATTAGAGATACTACGCTACTGCATTTCAATACAATATGGTGCTACTTGAAGAGACATTTTTTTCTGAGCTGGTACTTGGTGAAAAAAGTTTGAGAAGATGTAGACATTTTTATATAAGTACTGTATGAATAATTCTACTTCACAGTTTTGAATTTGACCATGAAAGTAACTTTCATAAATACAATTGAGTATGTACACTGTGTACAGTATGCATCTTATGATATTTACATGGTTAAAAGGTATAATTGCCATGTTTTTTATCAATTGTTATAAATTGTCTAACTTAAAACTATTTATTGAAAAGGATCTACTTTTAAACGCTCATACATACACAATCCTGTGTTAAGTGAAACTGATACTTAGATAACAACAGCTGGAGCATGCAATGCATTAGTTCAGGATCCATATGTTTTCAGCCATTTACCATTGCTAATCTGCTGCTGAACATGCTAGCCAGGTAAATAACAATCAGTAATTTATGGTGAAACCTGCTCTTGAACTAATGCAGGGAGTCGTAGCGCATTTATCAAACCGTACGGCCCTAATCTGCAGGGAGATGCTAATGCAGAGTGAGCAGTGAGTGTGATTTGGTCTTTTACCACACAGTGGCGGTGTCTCTCTGAGCCCTGCCATCAGATTCTCTTGCTCTTTTGCTTTGACGTCTGTATGGGCTTCACTGCTCAGGGGTCACAGGTCAGTCCCGGAGAGATGTCTCCGCAGAAACAGATGCCTGCTCCCTTGAATCCGAGGCGACCGCTGTGTGTTGGTTTGATTTTTCCGTTCCTGAATGCCCGTGGAGGAGAGTAGTGTTGGGCTTTGTGCCACAGGGATGGGGCTGAGCTCACCTGCTGCTGCTAGTGTGTGTTATGTTGACATGGGTGCATTTGAATGACAAACGTCTTATATAGTCATTAGTCGTTTAATAATGGGTTATTTTGAAGAATAATTGTTGGTCTGTGTATATAAAAAGTTCAGATACAAAAACCCCTAAAGGCCCCTAAACTGAGCATTTTACTCAGCCTCTTATGTTTATGTTCAGTTATTTGACTTTAAAGGCAATGAAAAGAACTTATCATTATAAAAGGACAATTACTGAGCATACACACAGGAGTCTGAGAAAAATGTTCATTTTAGAAGAAAATATTAAACATAATTTTTGCATCTAAATTCTTCATTTGTGTTTGATGTTTTGGCAGTTTCAGCATGTCTTTTTTTTTACGACAGCATTTTAGGAATATATTTGCATTTATTCATGGATAACATATAAGTGATGTATTGTACACCATGTATTGACCTTTTAAAAAAAAGAGAAAAACAGTTCTGCTTTTAATGTTTATGAAAAGAACGATATATTTACAATCGTTAGGGCAGCATTTATTGTAAATGTTTAACAAATGAATAACTGTAATAATTAAATAATGTGTATTTGCTGAATTAATGCATTCCATTTTTAAAAATGAACAACTATATTTGAGGAATATCACTCGAGTAGCAGTGCGATATGGCTGTATATCGGCACTGGTGGGAGACGTGTGTTGGCTCGAGGCTGCAGGCCGAGTGCCTTAGTGTCCCACCAATGACTGTATACAGTATTTCTCTGTCACAATTGGGATACCACAATAATGAACTCTCAAAAAAGCCAAAGCAAACACTACCCGATTACTATGGTATAAATACAGCACTACAACATACAAAAGAGAGAGATCATCTTAGAATGTCACTTACCTGTTAATTACACAAGGGTGAGGAGGCTGTGCGAGTGCTGTTATTGCAGAATATCACATGGCTATCAGCCAATCAGATTCGAGAACCAGACAGAACTGTGTGTGTGTGTGTGTGTGTGTGTGTTCTATATACATATTTATTTATATATTTGTATGTGTATGTATATGTATGTATGTATGTATGTATGTATGTATGTATGTTAGTTAGTTAGTTAGTTAGTTAGTTAGTTAGTTAGTTAGTTAGTTAGTTAGTTAGTTAGTTAGTTAGTTGGTTGATTTTATTAGTACCAGTAGGTAGATTCTTTTTGCAGCAAAGTTTGGCATTTAATGGAAACAATTAAGTCACACATATACATACCCACATATATATACATAAAAAGTACCTTGTAAAAGATTACAAAATATTCAGAGCGACAATAGATGATGGGACAAAGCTATTCCTGAACCGTTTTGTCCTACTAAAAAGCATCTGAAACCTTCGACCCGAAGGAAGCAGGATATATATATATATATATATATATATATATATATATATATATATATATATATATATATATAGATATATATA